CCACGTGGGATCGCGACATGAAGCTTGGCATCAGAAGTTTTGCACCCAACTTGGAAGATGATGGACCACCTCAGCTGGTCGTGTGTGCCCATCTGCCCCGCTGCGCGAGCGCGCGCGAGCGCGGCGAGCGGCAGAGAGAGAGGCGACGAGAGCGAGAGAGAGAGAGAGAGCGAGCGCGCGCGAGAGAGAGAGAGAGAGGAGAGAGCGCGCGCGGCGAGAAGAGCGAGCGAGAGAGAGAGAGAGAGAGAGAGAGCGAGAGGGAAGGAGGAGAGAGGGAAGAGGGAGAGGGAGAGAGAGCGAGAAGAGAGGAGAGAGAGAGAGAGAATGAGCAGCCAGGTGCACTCATGAATGGTTGTTACGTGAGGGCATGACTGTGACGAGCTCATACCTACACGATGCTTATGCAATCATGGGACTTCTCATGCAATGTTCTCGGAAAATCCAGGACGTCGCAGCAATGGAATTAAGTAGATTATTTTTGCAACTGGTGCAAGGACGTTCGTAGATATCGGTCACATCTGAGGAAGTATATCACGTGGTCAGCATGTCAAGGTAGTGATCATAAGTGATCATAAGCTCTGAAAGCTAGCAAGTGTATTTCGGCACCGGTGTTCACTGCTCTTGACGAAAATCAGTGATGTAGTTTTCCGGGTGCTCTGCAGTCATGTCACTGGCTCTGTTGCACACTGCGCTGGGCAACGTCGCCGGCTCTGTTTCCTGCTGTCCTGCAGTGATGTCATCGCTTCTGTCTCGTAATGCCCTGCAGGGATCTCACTAGTCCTGTCTTCCACTACCCTGCAGTGACGTCACTGGCTCTGTCTTTCACTGCCCTGCAGTGTCGCTGTCTCTGGCGCCCACCATCGCCACTCCGCTGTTCACTCGGACGAACTGGTCTTGCTGGAAATCGCGGCTTTGTGCCACTGACTACCAGCAGCCAGCGTTCCGTCACTCTGATGCGGATCGTCTCTCCGGCAACGCAGTCATGTGCCAGCTCCCTCTATTTGGCTGCTGAGGCTGCGGCGCTCTGACCAAACCGCGCTCTTCAGGTCATCACCGACCCTCCTCTGCTCTTCTGTGATGAGCCCACCTCGGGTCTCGACTCGTTCATGGCCCAAAATGTGGTGGCCGTGCTGAAGGCCCTGGCCGAGCGCGGGAAGACCGTCATCTGCACCATCCACCAGCCCAGCTCGGAGGTGAGGCCTCGCCGCACAAGTTCGGCTGCTGATCAGACCAACTGCGACTCTGTGGGCAGTTGGTCTGAAAATCACAGTTGGCCCTCCAACGTCTGCGCTGTGAGGGCCAGCGGGCTGTTTCCTGCTTTTGCGAGCAGCGTCACTGTTTACGTCCTGCTGTCAGACAGCTAAACGGCGATACCCTGTGCACGGCATGCCGGCTTTGGCCGTGCGGCATAAATGAGCTTCAGTTGCAAAACAGGTCGTGCTCTGCCCTACCTACGCTGCCATACCGATCTCAGCAGCAGAGGCTGTTGGTATCGTAACGCAGGAGTGGCCGCGTGCTAGCTTACGAGAGTCGCCTCCGTTTTCACTACCATCCTGGCATTCAAGTGGGTAGCGGCAATTCGCTTACCTTGCATCTTGTGCTGATTCCTTTGAAAGGGTTTGCCTTAGGTCGATGACACCGTCTGACCTTTCCTAAATTCTTTTGAACTTGTCGCGCCGCAACTTCGGGTACGTGGCATGTGCAGGAGCATTTCCAGATGTTTGTAATGAAAATGCTACGCTAAGCAATAACGTGCCAAAAAGGTCCATGATCCAGCCATATACGTAAATATTTGAAAGCAATAGGTAACAAGAAACCTAATGAATTTAACACAGAATACTGCCAAATTTACCGAGAACACACTGTTTTTCTGGTAGAAGCTACATAACTCGTAAATGACACTGAACTAGGTGGGTCCTGTCCGTGGCTAAGAACGCTTGAAAAGTGTGGCAGATTGTGCGGGATCCGAGGAGTGCTTGCTGATCAGCACAATACTGAGCCGTAACGAAACTATTAAGGAAAACAGGTTGAAAAATGTCAGGAATGGAAGGCCATTAGATAGCACCAATGCTTTTTACACATTGCCAGGGTTGGATCTGCATCCGACTGGCCCGGGCGCATGGTCTGCCTCGCGATCTTTCGGTATTCAACTAAAATGAATTGATGCATCACTCGGGCGAATAGGACTCGGCTCACAAACTTGATTAACGTTGGGTGGTGGTGTCGGACTAAAGAAATCCGGAAAAGTGGAACCTTAACTAGACTTAACTTCTTATTCAAGTTCCAACCATGATGAAGGCCCGTGTACAAGCCTTATAACACCAAAACCCATGGCGTGGATGAGACTGATTTTAATAGCATGTGCTCGCAAGTGGGTATTCTGGTACCTGTCGAGTTGCGTTGGATTATAAGGATGAGGTTCGTGCCGGATGGAATAAACTATAAGACTAAACGTGCTGTCTGTCATTCGTATCCAACGAACTACCAGCAATCTGTCAACACTCCCGAAGGGGAGGGTTTAGTTTGTGTGAGACATTCTTGCACAGAGTACCGGTTGCAACTGAACGGAAAGCTTCGCGAGGGTATGCTTTCGCCATGCCATGCAGCCGTGGGATTGACTCTGTGCTTTGCATGAGTAAAAATAGCCTCCGCTTGAGGGTGTGCCTCTTCCATCACTTAATCGCGCTCAACCCTCTGCAGCGGAGCGTGTTACTCCGTACTTGCAGGTGATTCAGGTGATTATTCGGGCCAATTCAGGCTCTCCTTTGGGAGCGTGGATGTAGGTGGTCGCCGCTGTATTTGTAGTCCACCGTGTTGTAGGCAAGCGTGGTTCCGCGCTATCGATATCGGTGTCCTCGTTTGTAATTTATGGTTTTCTTGTTTAATCTGGTATCTGCTGCGTACGCTGACAAAGGCACGGCGTCAGCTTTATCTAAAGCAGCTGGCATCAGGTGACATCCATATGCTAACGTGTTTGGTTTATTGGCAGCGGCCAAAGTCGTTCGGCTTTTGGCAAAACAGAGGGTGGCCGAGGCCCTCAAGAGCCAGATAGTTTACACCAAATCACACATACTGTCTATTCATCAAACGGTCTAGGGCCGCTCGCTGACTGCGGCATGGCCACGTATGCTGGATCAGCAGGTTCATGGCTTGTGGTGGGAACGTTAATCAATTTCTGCCCTTCATCGTCTAGTGTCTTGGGAACAACATCACTGTTTACGTAGGTCAGTCACGAGGGCGTTTTGACCTCTGACCAGCGCTCAACTGGGAACGGGAGGGACTGGCGTGCCTAAGAAGGGTAATTTGTCCTGCCTCCGCAGTGAGCACGCTCTCAACATGTTCACGTAGGCCATGGTCCTTGTTGTTTAGAGTCGGGCAAAGTGTTGGCACGATATCTGTGCTATGGAACCATTCAGTACGTTGTCTGTTTAAGCGCAATGCGTGCAGTTCAACCCGGCATTCGCCGGGCTCCTCAGCGGCACACCGTTGACAGGCGGGGGGGGGGGGAGGGGATTTGACCCCCCTCTTCTCTCTAGAACGACTGGTCGAAACTCAAAATTTTAGACCGCAATCGATAGTGCCGTGGCTTGCGGTCTCACATCACGCAACAAACTTAAGTTGATGCATGTATTCAGGTCACAGGTCAAGGTCAAATTAGGAAATTGTTACTTCGGAGTTTATCACCGCTCCAACAACGCGTGTCTCGCGGAAACGTAACTCACGGTGCGACATCACTGCTCTCTGATCAAACATTTTACATAGGGGGTGTTCGATGTGGTGCGAGCCGTATCAGGCCTAGAGCCAAGGTCACGCGCCGTGGAAATGAGAGCTGAAACCTTGGTTTGTCTGCATATTTTGGTCTATTTATTTTCGTGATATTTGAACCATCTAAACGTGAAGTGGAAGAGCTTAGCCGCAACCATGGGTATCGGACACGTGAGCAAGAGCGGTTACTTGTTCATAAGCCGTCTAATGCCAACCTGAAATGGATGACTTCAGTGGCAAATAAGCGGTTTGATCGATTTTCTCCTTGTTTTCGAGGGTCCAGTCCTGCCGTCATTGCGGCCCGATACCCTTCAACCCCGTCGCCAGTCACGTGGTCATTGGTTTGTGTGTGAAACTGATAAACGGCTTCAGCTGCCCCGCCGCCGCGCCGCTGCGGCAGACCTGAAGCCCCGCCGCCCGCCGCCGCAGGCTGGTCACGTGGGCAAGGGCAGCATGCCCTGTGGTGCATTTCAAGCCATAACTCAGTCATTTTTACAGATAGTTGCTTGCAATTTAATGCAGGCATCCTTCAAAGCCGTATCTATAACACCCTTCCGAGTGTTCAAAATTTCGAGTATGAGACCAGAAAATGTTGAGTGCACATTTTATCACTACTTTTGTTATTTGACATGCCAGTATTTCAACGTGCAAAACTGTAGCAACACAGCGACTATGCAAATGAATGATGGACTAGTTGGCTTACATTTTTCGTTCATAGATGTAAAATATGGTTTTTCGTTCGGCTTGTCGAGTTGTCTTCAGCCACGCGCTTCTGTCAAAACATTGGCAAACATGACGTCACTCTGACGTCATTTACGCCTGATCTATTATGGTATTATAGTCATTTTAGCACAGGGCGTTGAACTCATCAATCGACAGGTACTGAAACTTTTGCGGCGATATCTCGAAGCGCTTTTTAATTATCGCGAATGTTGGGAAGTGGGCAGATTTTGCCGGGCTAGTCATGAGTTTTAATGACTTCGACACGTTTTCTGGCGTTCCGGATGGTAAACTACAATTGTGCTCACTCTTTGCAGGTATACGCCATGTTCGACAGGGTTCTGCTGATGGCCGAAGGGCGCGTAGCCTACATGGGCGACGTGGACGGCGCCTACGACTTCTTTAGAGAGTAAGTGATCTTTTTCACGCAAAATGAATGATACTTTTGTGCCATAAATGGATATTGGCTATGTGGCAAGTAGCGCGTAGGACTTGAGGTTCGTGAGCAGTTATATCTTCCGTTGATAGGGCAAAAATATGACTGTTTTCTAGAAGGGACCGTTGGTTAATGGTCTTGACTACTTGGCGGACCGTGTGGTTATTTGCCTCGTTTCCTTAGCGGGGCGCTGCGGTTTTTTGCCCCGTTTTCTGGACGGGCCCTTGCGATTGTTTGTCTCGTTTCCTTTTCGGGGCCCGTGATTATTTGACACGTTTTTTTTGAGCGGCCTCCTGTGGTTATGCTTTGGACTGGCGGTGATGACGTCACGAGATCGGTCTCCCTGGTGGGGCGGACGTCTGCTGTAGTGTTCCGGGTTGTTGAGCTGTCGGCTATGCAAGTCGTTCCGCCGAAAGCGTGCAGGAGTGGAGTTTGAGATGCAGGAGCTTGATTGGCATTATTTATACACCATGAGTGCTTTGTAGCTGATGGGAATGAAAAGAAATGCACAACAGACAGGTGAGATTCGGAAGCCAACATCATTTTTGCAGCGATCTTTGTGCAGCAATAATCTGCTGCAGAACCGGTCCAGCCATCTAAATGCACGAATGTTCTCGCTCCATCTCGACAACCGCAACACCCGTATCTCACGTCATGGATCCTTGTCTGGCCTTTTGTAGGGTTGGCTACGCTTGTCCCGCGAACTTCAACCCTGCCGATTTCTTCATCCAGACTCTGGCCATTGTGCCGGGTATGGAAGAGCAGTGTCGCGGCCGAGTCGGCAAGATCGCAAACTGCTTCCAGGTGGGTGTCGCCGGCTGTGAAACCCTGCACTTGGCAATGTGAGTGTCGCTTAGCATTGAAAGCAGTTTTTTACGTATTAAGGTTGAAGTTGCAACGCTGACACGAATCTGTCCTCAATATACCGGGAGGTACTGGTTAACTGGCGTTGGGTTATACTAACAAACATGGGTTATATCATCAAAAGTCCACTTTCCAACTGTGCTCACGATCACGAGTGCCCCTGAGTGCCTTTGACCGCAAACACAACTCGAAACGCCGAGTTTTGATAATGACTATACTCGCTCATTCACCCTATATGACCAGCGCCTGCTTAATTTATCACGCAAACAATGATCTTTTGTCACATCGGTAATAGCCTTCTCAACATCGCTTAACCAGTCCTCCTGGTGTTATGGAAATCGCTTTTTACAACAAGCAAATTTCAAACTCATTATTCGGAAACACCAGGAACGCAAGCATTTTGTTGCATATTCCTCTTATTTTTCACGCTTTCACTTATTTTGCTTACCCCTTACCCCTTCCCTCTGATTAAAGGCAGTATTTCTAGTCCGTACAGGATTTTTCATTGTTCACGTAGGACTGTGGCGAATTTGAATTGGTATCGATTGTCATACTTGGGTTCTACAAATTCACTTCTGTTTGCCAGATATTTAAGTGCCCAACGCTTTTGCTGAAAAGTTTTCGCGTGACCCCGAGATGTTTTTCACCCGCAATTCACCGCTCACATCGCGAATGTGTCGTTAGCGCCAGCGAATGGTCTTCCGACAGGGGAACTTGTCAGCACTGGCACCAAATTTCGAGCACCACGGCCATTGTGTAAACAAACAACGAGGAGAGGTGGCATCGCAAATGAATTAATTGCTCAGACTGTCATCCTCGCATGGTACATCAGTTTGTACAATCTAACACACCAAGGAAGGGCGATGGTTCGAACAACTATTTCATCTGGAGGGCGCGTGTTTACATGATGTTTGCCGTTCGTGCCGCGTTGGGCCGGCAGCCCGTCTTGGAAGGTTATCGAGAACAGTTATTTTCGGAACGGCATTTGCTAATGGCGTTATTCGTTGAACAATTGTATCGCGGCCGAATTCGCCCTTTCCTAGATTACTAGGGTGGGGGAGGGTCAAATTGGTCAAACACACGATCGGGTGGGGGAGGGTCAAATTGGATCAAATACACGATCCGGTGGGGGAGGGTCAAATTGACCCCCCCCCCCGGAAGGTTTTCCAGAATGATGTCCAAACGACGCGGTGCAGCCACGCCAAATTTTGCATAGGTGTAGACAATTAAATATCAGATTGTCTGACATAAAACATTTAGGTTTACCTTGTAAGGTCGCTGACCTATGGCACGTCAAAGTCAGGGCTTGGCTTCAGCGAAGGCAATTTCTACGGAATCGTTTAAGCTTATGTAACAGCAGAGTATTATACGAAACCATACGTCTCTGAGACACTTTCTTATGCAACACAACAATTGAATGAACAAAATACATCGACCTAAGCCCAGATACGAAGGTCATACCAAGGTCAAAACCAACCTGTTTTATTACTCCGGGGCTTGCTGTATGGGGTAGTTTCTGGTGCTCATTTCAAATTTATTGACAACAGAAACCGCATTATACACCTTCGATAGACTTCTTAAAGGTCAAAATAGGTCGCTGACCTAGAACGATCCAGGTCAAAATTTCGCTTTTTAAGAACATACTGCGTAGCGAAATCTTTGTCGCGTAGCCAAGTGCACAACTCAAAGCAGCCTGGTATGATTTTGGTCACCATGTCCTTTAAAAGGTCAGTTAAGGTCACTGGCCTTAGATGAGCATGTTACCTTTTGCTTAAAACAGTTATCTAGGTTCTAGGGGCCCCTTGGAGACCAACCTGGCATTTAACCTTGTTTGGCCTGTTTTGACTCGAAAGTCATGATCTAAGAATTTCAAACTTTGACCTAAGTGAGTTCACGTACAGGTCAACACACCCTGTGAATTTGGTATTCCTAGCTCTCTTAGTTCCTGATATCTCAGGGGGTCAAATTGACCCCCATCGAGCGACCGGTATCAAGCCGGCCGCGCGGGCGCGTGTTAATGTTCATGGAATTGTACATGTGCCTTCAAGCTGTGTCCGTTTAGTTACAAGTTATGTGCTATTTTATAGAAAATATGCGCACTCATCGAAGCTCTTGCCGCATTTACCTGTTTTTCAAAGAATGTTTTACCAACCAAGTATGTAAAGCTGTTTTTACATTTTTTCCGTTGAAATAATTTTATCCTTATTTGAGGATAAATTTGAGTATACTTTTGAGGCTGCTGGACCTTTGTCCATCCCTGGTCATTGTCGTTCGTGCAGGCCTCAGTGTGGCTCATTTATCCCATAAGAACACGGCTGGCATATATTATTGCTATTTCTTGTATAAACCATGGTAAGTTAGGTGTGGGGCTCACTCTTCTTGGTTTATACTAAATGTATGATGCAGACCACACCATGAAATGTTGTTCATTAAACCATGTTTTTATATGTTCTTTTCTCTTGGTTTACCTGTCTGGGCACTTTAACGGCGACATACACGATTGGCCATGCTTGTAACATCCCCAGTTGACGTCAAGTAACATTTGGTATGTGTATCAGCTGACTTTGTATGCTACTGAAGACTTTTTTATGATAGAATTATTTGGCGTGCCCTTAATGGTTACCCCCGATAGTCTAAGAGCGCATTTGTGTTCTGGAAAGGTATTAGGAATCTTAAATGTAAGTAAACAAGCATAGTATGCAGAAGTCGCACTTCTTGAAACACGTTGAATGCTTTATACAGGCCTAAGAACTCGCAAGTTTAAATCAGTCAATGCACTAGATATTTCCGATTTGATCTTGCGTATTAGTGAACCTCTCCGCCTACCAACGCAGAAGTAACTATTGCTGATGCCTGAAACATTCCCATTTCACATGAAGTATTTGGTTGTCATGGTTCTGCCGGCTGATTATGTAATACTAGTGAAGGCATTACCATAATGATTTTTGTTTGTGTCGTGCGTTAAATTTGTCGCTCCATATAATCATGTACCCATTCTACTATGAAAGGATGGCAGGACTCTCAAATGTAGGAAAGCAGGTATGGAACACAGGCACCATGCTTCTTGGGATGGACTGAATCTTTTTTGCAGACCACACAACTTTTTATCAGTCAATGCACTGGACATTCCGAACTATCTTGTGCCATAGTTTGCCTCTCTAGGCACTAGCATAGCAATATTTATTGTTTATCCTCGAGACATTCCCGGTTCACATAACATGAAAGCCTGTCGTGTCCCTGCCGGCTGGCTGTGTTATGACACTGAATATCATTTTTGCTATTGGGCTTGATGTGGTGTGCCTCAAAATTGTTGTCCCTTTGGATCATATATGCGTTTTTTTCTGAAAACATGGCAGCAAGATCTTCAAACAGAGGTGACCAGATAACGTAATTTGGTACCATATCTCCTGGAATTGAGTGAAATTATTAGGCAGAAGACATTTTGATCAATGATGGGATTTCGTAACTCCATGCACTACGTAGTGTTGGTTGTTTTTAATGGAGTGTTCTGCGTTGATGTGAGGTTTTGAGCTGAAATAACGATCTTGAACACTATTCGGCGCAGTCCACAGCCCTGCTTTTCTGAAGAACCAAACCCTTCTAGTTTCTGGGCTGCACGCCCGCGAAAACGGGGGCCTTTCTGAGAGAGTATTTGAAGGTCACCTTGGCATTCATGACGTCATAATGCCACTTCAATCCTGCCATTCTATAAGCTATGCGGCGATCAAGGCCAACAAAAATATAGCGGTCGAGCCGCTCATATCTGGCGTTTGTGAGCACGATGCCTGGATAAAACGGCCGCCAATTGGCTCTCAACCAACGTCGTGCTGGTACGAGGCGTGTCGGGGAGCAGATTTACTTGACGGAGAACTTGTGTTGATTAGAGTAGTCTTTTCCACTTGAACGTGTTTCAATGGTTTTAAATGAGCGCATTTTATCACATATGCTTGATTCAACGTCTTCAAATGTGGAACATCCCTTTAAATACACTCGGCTAATGTTGGACGGAAATGCGTTCTTCCACCGCTTACTGTATCACGATTGACATCCATTTACCGGGTGTGACGCATGCAAATTGCCAGGAGTTTGTTCCAGAAGCGAGAACGGGAGTACTTGGGGTAGGAGTCAGCACTTAAAGCAACAAACTGATTTAACTCTTCACTCCAAAAGTCATGAGCAGATGACTGCTCCATGAGATTAAGTATGACAAACGTTTGAGGAAACAATGGTTTATTTTAGCCATCATGCTCCGAGGATGACCACGCTGGGTACGAATTACAGAAGCATAATCACCTGAACGTTAGCTACCTTTTTTAGGCCACGTAACCTAGCGACGGCCACAACCGCTGTTTTAGGAGCAGAAAGGTATGCATCTCATTACATTCAGGTTGACGGCATCTAGTCACTTAAAAACATTGGCGGATGATATGGGAAGCTCAGGCCGCATGTGAAATGAGCCTCAAATAAACTGACGAGCATCGATATCTGGTCAATGCGTGACACTTATGGGACCATAATTGTTTCGACAAAGGCCTGTGGACGGAATATCCAGATACCATTATTTTGAAATGTTCCTAAATAATCAACGTGGAATGAGATCAGCATAATTCCTGTAACAAATATATATATTCCTAGCCGTTGCACCGAACAACTTTCATATGCAACGATAAACATTTTTACTCTTGCCATTTTGCTTCCGTGATTCCCTCAGAACTAAAATGTCATCCCGTCAGGAAATTAGAACATCAGCTTTCCTTGCCGCACAAAATGGGTCCAGAAGCCGACGCCCACGATTGGTGAAGCTGGCTGCCAACTCGCCTCCGCTGTCGAAGGCGATCGGTTACTACAAAACGAACAGCTTACGCTTACGAGATGGCATTAGCAATGTAACGGGCGACACAGGAAATACCCTCCCGCTCGATGCCCCTCTCGCGTGTCAACACCCCCCATACGCCACTGCAGATCATGTCACCTGCCATGCCATTGTCGTTGATCGCAATTATGTAAAAATATCAAGGAGTTCTTAAACGATATTAGCGAAACACAAACAATATAAGGTATCTGGCAGAGAATAGATGTGGTGTGACCAGTGTGTAAATAGACCCAGTAGACCAAAAATGCCCGGTGGGGACGTGTTTCTTACCAGTACCATGCATTTTTACGTTTTTACAAGGCTTATGACGTACTGGGCTTTTCTACAACGTTGCCGCATTTTAAAACACAGGAGCCTGGCATCTTTAATCCCAATTAGGCCTGCTTAAAGACACGTGTTCCAAATTTGTATGTAGTTTTAACCCGAAATAGTCATCCTGAGGATCATTCGGCGCAGCTCACATCCTAGTTTCCGACCTACTCGGCTGCAAATATGGCAGACTATTTCTTGCAGACTATGTCTACAATTAAAGTGGCCATGCGGCGTCCAAGGCCAAAAAAAAGATCATTGTCGAGCCGTTCGTGTCTGGCGTTCGTGTACACGATTTCCAGATATATTGGCCGTCAACTAGCAAATATTTTTGTGCAAGGTGTGATGACGTTATCAAGCAATGAATTATTGAGGAACAAATTTACCGAAAAGAAAAACTGTCTCGTTTCGAGCGATCTTTTCCGCTAAAAAGTCTACCTATAGGTATAAGTGGGCTTATTTCATCATATCTGATGCTTGTCTTAATATCCCGAATTGTGGAATATTTTCTTCATGAGCTTTGTGCGTATGCTTTTGGAAACACCGGCATGCTTATTTTCTGAAGTCGTTGTAAAACTTAAGGTCGGAAAGTAAGCTTAACTGGGCCCCTTACCTCTCGTAAGCCCGTTTTGCGTTGTTATCATGCGGCTATTTTTCTATGGAACCCCTCAAAGCAGGCTATAATAAGTTTACCAGTGTCCATGGCTTTATTGCAAGAGGAAGCAGCAGAGCGTAGCAAGGTTATCGCCACTATGCAAGTAGTCTTCAGCAAAATGCGCGGGCAAACCGGGACGTTAATGTTTGGGGTCGGTATGCAGCGTCATCCATAAACGGCCTAGCGTTATAACTCTGCCATGCCCTCTCGAAGCTCATCGTACCAGCCATGTGATGCGGCGGCCAGAGCCCGGCGTTTAAGCGTCTGTTATCTGTTCGCAGGAGAGTAAGGTGGGCCTGGACATGGCCAAGGAAGCAGGGAGCCTGGTGCTGTCGCTGAACAGTGGCAACAGTGTGGAGGTGGACACGGCCTCACGAGTCCAGTAAGTCTGGCCACACCGCCCCCGGCAGATTCCGGCAAGGACGCACTGAGAGTCTTGCGTACTCATCTGGCCACAGCAGTGAGGCGATATGGACAGGTCCATGACCAGGTCGGCATAATTATGACGATTGATCGCCGTAGTGGTCAAACTCGCTGACATTAACAACAGGGAACAGTGAAACAGCACATCTCCCCAGGATAACATATGATTGCGCCTGTGAGCAACAAAATTTATCAAATTATTTGGCTTACTAAATAACATTTACTTATTTTGTTAACTTCTGTAAAACAGTGCTTTCAAGTGTCGAATTTATTTGGTTTATTAACTTTAAAAAGCGGAACAGAAAGCACCAAATACCTGTCAGGGCAACAGCTCATGTGTTGTTTGACTGCTCCCTGTTGTCAATGTCAGCGATTTTGGAACTTATCGACCTGGTATGAGAAAGCAAAGGCCACCTATGACGGTCAATCATGTAACGGAACAACGATAACACTATGGACAAAGACGCCACCATAACGGAAGTATTAGTGCGTGGTACTCGCTTCCCATCGGACACATTGGACCCAAGTTAATGCGCAGTAGAGGGTTTCCTTTTCTCGTGTAATCCTCTGACAGGTGATGACGCGCGGTGGAGGGTAGGATATGTTTTCCGCCCTCTCAAGACGGCAAGAGGTAGCGTAACGAAACACGCAGGGTAGGTGGAAAGTATAAAGTTGTACTTGCCATGCCAATCACTGTGATTATGTCAAATGGCCAAAGGTAGATTGTTTACGTAACACGATGTAATAAAATATATAACATTTGACCTGAGGACGCTGAAAAATCAACAAATTGCGATGCATGCCATGGAATGCACTTTCCAAGGAAAAGCGGCAAGGATTTCACAAATTTTGCAAATATGTCTTTGCAATAATATGTTGAGGGCTGACATTATATCATGAACATATCATATCGTCTTATTATCAAATATCATGGACTAGATCAAAATTCACTATCATAATCAATGCCAGAATTGATCTCAATGACCTTTTATGACGTTGGAATGCTGGCATAAAACAATGTACATGAAACAAATTTTCATTATTGCCAGGAACATAGGCTTGCGGCCGTTTTGTCGGGAGCGCATCATTGTCCACATGTTGACGGCTACGGTTTTTACTTTACCGTCATGCAATTCTAAAATTGCCCGGATGATTTTGTTTGCTTTAAACGACGCCATGGGGTTTCATGTATTGATAGACGGAGACCTATCGGCTCTTTCGGCTCAGAGCTCTATCGGCTCTTTCGGTTCAGAGCGCTATCGGCTCTTTCGGCTCAGAGCACTATCCGCTCTGCACATCGGCTCTTTCACACCGGCAATTTACACGAAAAGCCAGAGGGGGCGGACCTCGACCCCCTCCCCCCCCCACCCATTTCTGTTACCTTCATTGTACATATTAAAGCCAACAATGGCGATATTTGTGCAGCGTAAGGGGAAAACTCATGGTCAGAAACCCCGTGTATGAATCATGCCACAGCTTCCTAACTTCATACGTATTTTTAATATCATCTGCACCGCATTTTTCTGCTTCTAAGCAACTGAATTAGTAGCGTGTGCGTGTGCGTGTGAGTGTTCGTTTCCGTTTACTTTCGCGTTTTTGCGTGTGCGTGCGTGCTTGCGCGTAAGCGTGCATGTGCGTGCGTGTGTGGCCAGATATAATGGCGAGGCGCACAGCGCAGACAGCTGCACCGATACAGCAACATGTGCACATACCACAGGCACAGCCTGCTGAGGTACCACGGCACAATTTTGCGCCGCTCCGGCGTCGGTGATAGCCGTACCGCGCGCGAAAAGGGTAGCATGTTTGCGGGTTTCGTGACGATAAAACCTAGCAGGCGAGGAGAGGAGACGAGCAGAGCGAGATCAGAGGATTGGAAAAGAACAGGTCGCAACAGCTCAAGCTGAAATGAACTCGACACTCATTTTTCGGGACGCTCATTTTTTGCAAGGGTGATTTACAAAGAAACAGACGGAGTTGTAGACATTGCAAAAGGAGATGCCGCTCACGTGGTTGAAGACATGGTCCGGTGGAAAGCCGTCCCTAGTCTTGATTGTGCGTGTCGTTTTTTACGTGGTGAACTAAGCACAGATACATGTAGGGGTTTCTGCAGCGATTTCTGCTGTCGTAGAATACAGACGATGTTTCAGAGAAGCCATCTTATTTGCAATACGTTTTAGCCCGTAATCCCGAGGGAATGCGTAGCCGGCACCGCAGATCCTTTCCCTCCGCTCGGCGAGGCAAGCGGGTGCCGCTGGTAAGGTCTATAGGAATTCCCCGGTAGCCCTTATGCCTGAAATAAACGCTAGGGCACTTTCTAATGTTCTGACTTTTAAGGCTTGTTCTCCAGGCAAGCAGGTGTATGTTTGTCATTTCAAGCATATTCCACTTTTCCATGAACATAACTTACGGACGCTCTTTAAATGTGATGTTTCCGACGCTTGTTTTTTTCTTTTCATAGGTCCCACTACAGGACGGGATGGTGGGGGCAGTTCAAGGCCGTCTTCTGGCGGTCGGTGCTATCCAACATGCGCGAACCCATGGTTCTGAAAGTCAAGGCCATCCAGACAGTGGTGAGTGCTGCTCTGCTTTAGAATATTAGGTTTCACTGTCTGTCAATCACTCTGTCTGTCACTGTCAATTACACTTTCATAGCCCTCTGTACTACACTTTTTGCGGAGTCATGTGCGCAGCTAAAAACAAATATTTCAAAATGCTGCCCGGGAAAACATTGATCGTTGAAGTTGATTTGGCCCGATAATTCATATCTCCCATTTGGAGGTAATTGGCAGGTTATTCCGCTCAGCTATCAAGCTTGTACATACCAAGAGGCATTGGTTAACCAACATTACGATGCAAAAGTAGTTACATTTTCACAGCTCTCATCATTGTGGGGCTCCGAATGCGTCGCTGCGTGAATGAGTGACTGCTTCGAAAAGATCAGTTTTTTTATAAACTGAAGAACGACACGCCTGACTTGAAGTGCTGCATTCCGTTGTTACAACGCAGCTACAGGCGGTACAACTTGCCTGCTTGGAGATCCACAGAACGGAGCCTCCAAAGGGCAATCGCAGACCGCCGTTGCCTCTGGCGCGACACCTTTGGCCTCGAAGCGTAGTAACGTGAACGTAGCTCCATAAAAGCACTGCCACCGTTCACAGGGTAACGACGAACAGCACATGTTTCGAAACCTGTGGTCAGTTGCGGGGCAATGCCCTACCGTGTGGTATTAGTACTCGTTGCGAGCTGTGAGCCACTCTGCGTTTTATGTCCGCAGTTCATCGCGCTTCTCTTTGGAGTGATATACCTGGGCCAGGAGCTCAACCAGGAAGGCGTTATGAACATCAACGGCGCTCTCTTCCTCTTCATCACCAACATGACCTTCCAGAACGTGTTCGCAGTGGTCAATGTAAGGAGAATAGGCACTATGGGAGTATTCGTTACTGCATTGTAGTGACATGTGGTTGCAATGCCTCGTGCGTGCTCACCATAATGGAATCTCGTCACTGGACGGTCACTGTTAACCTTCCTTATGAGCACATCGCGGTCTACGCGTATCTTGGCTCGCACCATATATATTTTGACAAAGATTTGTGTTAGGAAATGACAGCATATTGAGTCAGACAGCGGTCTTATTATAATTGCTAGAACTGGCTGCCGATTAAAATGTTTAAAGGAGAAATTCCGTACTCAGGGATCAGCACGCTGATGCTCCTTGTGCTGCCGGCAGGTGTTCTGTCTCGAGTTGCCCATCTTCATGCGGGAGCACGGCAATGGGATGTATCGGACTGACGTGTACTTCCTGGCCAAGACACTCGCAGAGCTGCCTCTGTACTTCATTTTCCCATTTGCCTTCGTCGCCATTTGTTACTTCATGATTGGCCTGAAGGGTGACGTGGGCAGCTTCTTCGTCTGCGTCGGCATCGTTATCCTGGTCTCCAACGTGGCTGCCTCGTTCGGTAAGTTACTTAGCCCCTCCCGCCCAGCGCCAGGATTAGGCCAAACGCTGGTTTCAGCCTGACCACATCCAGTCTGCGTGGGTTGGCTTCCTCTAGGGGCACTGCCTGCCTACGGGGCGAATGGTTCGGGGTGGCGCCGAACAGGATGCGCTTCAGATTGATTGGGCCCCGCCCAAAAATAGTCTCTAGATTGATTATGCAGATGGTGTTTAAATGTGCAGGACGACAGTGGTTCGAAATAATTTGGTGTTCGATCCCGATCCGAGTTAGTTCATTGATTTTCCCGTCAACATGGGCCCTGTGGAGTCCGAGTATGCGGTAGCTGTGCTTTCACAGTCAAAGCGCGAAAGCGCTACACGGATTGGATCAATGGATGTACTGTGGATTAATCCGCAGGTCGGATTGGACGGCATCAAAAATTTTCATCAAAACACGGTTTGGGACCGGGTCAGATTGATTAATTTGCCGAAATAAATTAACCAGAACCATTTAAATGGAAATTATCACTAAACGATGCCTGAAGTTATCAATGGAGGCATCAACTCAGACAGGAACTTTTCAGGGAAATTTCCATATTCGAAGATAATAAAGGAAGCATCAGATATGATGAAATAAGCTCAGTTATAACTATTGATAGGCTTTAAGTGGAAAAGGCAGCTCTAGACAACACAATTTCTCTGCTTAATGAATGTGTTCCTCAATGCGTCATTGTTTGATCACGCCATCGCAACTCACACAGCCCAATTGACGGCCGCTATATCTGAAAATTGGGTTTACAAACGCCAGATATGAACGACTCGACAACTACATTTCTCTTGACCTCGCTCACCGCATGGCTAATAGAATTGTAGGATTTTAGTGAAGCTATTTCGGCTTCATGGATGCCTGGGTGGCCTTGAAATAGTCTCCCCGACAGAAAAAGTCCGCACATTTTGATGTCATGTAGCCCAGAAACTAGCGGGATTGAGTTATTCAGAAGGGCAGAGCTGTGAACTGCGCCGAATGGTCTTACGATAGCTATTTCAGTTGAAAACACCACACAAATGTGGAACACTGCCTTTAAACCAATACAATACAGTAGTTTCAATTCCAAGCGATGCACACACAGGCCACGTAATACGGAACTCAGCCAAATAATCCACAAGCAAATTTTAGGATGAACAGTTTACTCTGACAACTTTATATGAATGAATGACACTCATATATGCTGCATTGGAAAACCTAAGCTCTCATTCTTTCCCACGTAACTTAAACGTCTGATAATCCCCTGGCCCGCCTTATCACAGTAAAGCTACCATTGGTTCTGACCTTGCCGGTAAACCCATTTAACCCCAGCCGTTGACATTGCATTTCTGTGATGAAATGCTAGGCAGGAGCATGTTTGTTTGGGAAAACCACAGTACAGAGTTTTGTAATCCAGGTTCCCGTCCGGGAAAATTAAAAAGGTAAACCTTACGTCAACACTATATTTTCCGTTTGCCAAGTCCCTCAGCCAAATTTTTGAGTTCACACTAACTTCAAGTTAGGTATGCTGACTAAACTGATCTATTGGCGACTGTATGCCAGAATAAATATTGCAGCATCCTAGCACATTATTTCTTAACCCTCTTCGTGCCACTAAATGCATCAAAAAGAATTGGCATGTTGTCCACCAAACAACCAGGAATTGAAGGCAGCATTCTCATCCAGCCGTGAGCTGCTGGATGCAAGTCTGGTGCTGTGGCTAAACTTTGGTATTAGATAGGTGCTCCTGGATTGTTTGGTTCTCCCTTTCGCATAAACTGTGAACAAATTGGACGTTAACCCGTGCCCGTCCGGGACGGACGGGAAGGGGGGGGGATTCTTCCTCCTACGGTTTTTCGCGCACAGGTCAAACAAACGCAGGCACTGGCACAACGTTTTCA